ATATATGATAAATATTAATGTGAAATAATATATGATAAATATTGATATTAAATAATATATGGTAGATATTGATGTGAAATAATATATGATAAATATTGATATTCAATAATATATAGAAGATATTGATGTTAAATATATACGGTCAATATTGATATCAATTAATATATGGTAAATATTGATATCAAATACTTTATGGTCAATACTGATATTAAATGATATTGTAAATATTGATATTAAATAATTATATTACTGGTTCACTTAGCCACAGCCAATTATAGTTTAATACATTAATTAGATAACCGCCAGACATTATTCAATTCTCATTTAGAAAGACAATGCACTGTAGTAGATTCAACTTGGAATATATATACCTGTCAGATTTACGTCAAATACTCTGCTGGAAATATACTGCTTGCCTACTGAACTCTTTTTAGAAATCTCACTTCCGTCAATCTAATAGTAATAACGTCATACATGTTTACTTTTAGTACATCTACCCTTGGAGTCATTACTCCAAGATCTACCTGTATGGTAGTTCTAATAGTAATATGGTTAATGGCAAGACCCGTGTGTCAAACGTCATTGCGAAATCAAATGGACAGTTTTATAAACTCGTACGTCATCTTATACCACACCTTCCTAATACTTCCTCCGACTGAAACAAAGCTAAATATAATTTCAACACTTTGTTTGAAGTCCAACATTCAACAAAAACTAAAGAATTCAGTTTATTTTGCATCTGATCCATTGTTCAAAAGTACACCTATTTTACAGTATATTTTACACCACTTCATGACAAACTATTGTTGGTATTTTGTCTGCACACTGAGTTTGCTTTCATGTGTATGTTCTTTGTAAGATTTATTCTTTTCAAACTCATTAGTATTAGAAGTATAATTTATCTATGTAACCTATTTATCTACACTTCTACGTGATATTTAAAAATATACAAAGCTGGCTAATGAATTCATACATTCGATCAATCGTGCAATGAAAGATATACCGTTTCTTACCGTAATTTATGTGAAAAACCAGCCCAATCGATCTGTGAACCGAAGAAGATTTTCAAACTTGATTTCGACTTGAGTCCATTCTTACAACCACACGAGTAGTTTCCCTTTTCCATTGTCTACAAAAACCATTTCAGGTCTGACTGAGCATTAAGTGTTAAGCAGTTTGGCGCCAGTCGCTCTCCGCTTCGTTGAAAAACTCGAACCCTGCCATAGTTCCTGAACAGACAAAACCGACTTTCATAAGTAAAGAGCACCCTCGCCCAGTCACGTCGCTGCCACCGGTGTACAGTTCGTGCCCATTGTAGTCTGCGTTCGTGCACGTGCATTTGGACCAATGTTGCAAAATCGCGTTTTGCACGTTTTTATGCATGCACGATTTGGAGAGTTGCGTTCAATAATCTGCATTGTGGTCATGATAACGTTGCATTCAAGCAAATGTTTGCTGTTGGGGTTCAAACCTGTACCAGCTTTTTGGCTTTTTATACAACGATTTTTAAAGTGAAAACTTTCTTTTACCTGTCAGTTTATGTCAACCCTTCCGACCTGCATCACTGATAATGGGAATCGGGTTGGAAGTCTGAATCTATGCCGGGATTGATATCCCCAGTTAGTTGGCAAAGATCTAACTCACTGGATCATCACCAAGACTACCATATTTCTTCCAAAGACTATAGTCCTATAACGCTTTTAGAATGGCATTGGTTGAATAAATGTTGTGACAACCTAAAGGAAACAAGTGCGTAAATGGACACATTTAAATTACAGTACCATAGTTTTCATTTTATGTTTCCATTCAGATTTGCTATGGTACGTAATATATCTAGGAATAAACTGCAAAACACATTACTTTTATGAAAAAATATAATATCAGAAGTAAAATTGAAAAAAATATGAAAATTTAATATACAAATATAATATGTAATTAATAAAGTATATAGTGTACGCTGACACATGAGAAAAAATCCATTACAAAATAAATACAAATTTCAAATACAAAACAATTCAAAAGACATAAAATCGAACGCTCTGGAAGGAATTGATTTCAGAGAAGATCGTTAATAAAGACACCGGTTGAACAATGATCAATTGTTAGAATTCATGTACACGTATGTAAGTGTTGAATCAGGCTGGCCTATATCTTGAGTATACAGCCAAAAACGTCAGACGAGCAATTTTCTGGTGAAGAAACAGCAAAATAATTTCAGCATGGCAAACACCAAGTAGATATGTCGATATTCTTTCAATGAACATTGATCACAAATTTTATAGAACATAAAAAACAATTGCGTTGTCAGATGAAATGATACGTACGTTGATTTACATGTCACATCCACCACATACATCGGAAACTAGGCATATTTTTAAAAAATTTTGGTATAGCATAGCCGACCTGGCTAAAAGCTGTGTTGTTGGGTTTGTTTGATATACTACCCTGGACGTCGTTGCTGTTGGCACTTAGAATTCTACATGGCTTTCTCAAGACTTGAAGTATCTGCCGAGTTTTACCTCCTAGCACTTCTAGCCTAGTTTTCTGTTCAAGATTTGCGTTTTAAGATGGACCTTGGTATAATAGGCGAGGAACAAAGCTGTTCAGCAAAGGCTAGTCGAGGTCTGATAACACATACTGTCACTAGATGCGCTCCTCGGATTTCATCGGCCCATCTCAATACTCGGTCAACTTTTTTAGTTTCACAAAATCTATCACGTAAATCACTCAGTTTTTTCTTCAAAATGTTTTTATTTTTCGGACTATTTGCGTGTACATCCTTTAGCTCAGTCACGCGATTGTTGTTGATCATTTCCACACTCTCCTGGCTCCCTGATACTTTCCTCGACATACAACTACTGTTAGCCAAAATACAGTCTGTACACCTTGGTGCATTGTTGTTTAAATCACCAAATAAACGGTTCAGCTTCTTCATTTCTGCTTCGTTTTGCAGGCAGTTGTGGCATCGAGATTCCATTGTCTTGTGTCTGTGTGTAAAAATAGTTAATGCGATATATTTATGGAACTTAAAATAACGTCTGATGTTTTCTCAACATACCACGATATATATGAAGAAAGGGAATGACGTGAATATCACGTGGGGTTGTTTTGATTCCGAATAGAAGTTGTGAAATGCGTTGTGATTTTATTAGGTTTTTTCTCTCGTCTAGAAGCTAGGAATCGCCTGAAGGTGAATAAATATTTAGTCATTGACAGTGATTCTAGCTATTTCAATATTCCTGTATTACTATGTACTTAAAAATTATCTTCGACGTCAATGAAAACTTAGAAAACCGTAATCTAATATATTATTTTTTAGCGTTCACTCTCGTTACACAAACACTTCAAATTTAATATTACGTAGTGCGAATGCGTGAAGCTGACGTTTCACCGAATTAAACGATTTGTGTAATTTTGAATAAGGTGGTGGGTTACTCAATACGATTAGATTATAAAGATTAGGGTAATCTTTGCCGAAAGCGGAAAACATTAGAGACGAAATAGATGGTTTTAAGTTGGTAGTTGGTAGGATGAAGAGATCTTGCTGCCATAATGGATAGGGTCAGAATTCCCGACAGAAACCTTGGAACGATACTGCACAGATGCAGGAGATGTATGGACGAAAATTTTGAGCATCTATGCAGAATTATTCAGAATTTGTCATTTATATTTTACGACATACAAGTATATGAAACGAAAATAAAACAGCAAGAGAATCAAAGAGTTCAAAGACGTAAACTGGTCATAATATCTGGTTCTATAATCCAATTTCTGATATGTTTTGTCCAATGGAGACGAAAATAACAGAAAACAAAAAGCAACGAAATTGTAATTGTAGTGGGATGAAATCGACTCTTCATTAGTATCGTTGTGAATTCTTAAAACATTGTACATTAAACAGATTTCTAAAGTATGCTATTTATATTTCTGTATCTTATTGATCAAACTAAATTTTTTTTAAAAGGGTTTATCAAAGTAAGTATACAGTATAATTGTTAAGTTAGTAAGCAGTTTTACCTGGTTTTGGTGTTTGGACATGTAAGCAGGTTTATGTAGTTTTGGCGCTTGGTAATGTAAGTAAGTTTATTGCAAAGAGCCATTTAGACTCATCAGCATGATATATAAATATATACAATATGTACAATACGGAGACAATAAACTATATAAATAATAACAATATATATAACATGATGATAAGTATAGTATAGGGTTATAATAACCATTAAACATCTGTAAGTCTCTCTTCCTAACCGAGCAAATTAAGTATCTCGCAAGGTTACAAAGCTGATTTTTATTTTGTATTGATAAAAGTTCTGTTAGTTTTAACATTGACGGTTTGTGCTAATAGTAACGTTTAATATATTTCTCACGTAACTCATTATAATTTGTACATTCCAATATAAAATGATATTCGTCCTCTATTGATAATTTATCACATAAGATACAGAGTCGGTTTTCTCTTGCGATTTTACTATACCTGCCTATTTCAACATTCAGCATATGAGATGACAATCTAAACTTAGAAATAACATAGTGATAAGAATCTGGGATTGATTTGGATAAGTAATATTGTAATGTAAAATGAAATGGTAGATTTTATAAATTAAACATTTGGAGGATGACTCAAAACAAGCAAACATTTCTTGGAGAAATATATCTTTAAGTCTACATGTTATAATATTAATGCTTTTATACACAGTTTGGTTAAGCGGATTATGCCATATATAACCAAGACCCAAAGAGTATAGTAGACTCTTTATTTCTCCAAGCCAGTTAGGGCTAGTATTAATGTTTTCGTTCATATCCTCATATACACATTGTAAAATACAATTTTCACTTGTCAAAATTTTAAACCAATATTTGATGATTTGAATATAGTGTGTTATATATAACGGGAATCTACCTAACTCTGCATACATCATAAAATTCATTGTGCATCTTTTTACATGTAATATATATTTTAAAAAATCAGTGTGAACCATTTCAATTTTCTTGGAAATTCTAAAACCCCATATTTCGCAACCATAATTTAGAACAGGTGAGACGTAGGAATCAAATACATTTAATTTAGCTTCAATATTTAGTGAATTTTTGTTACATATATTAAGTATATTAAACATACACTTTCTCCCTTGAGATGAAATTATTAACTGAGCTTTGACAAATTTACCATTATAAAATAAATTCACCCCCAGGTAATTGAAACTGTTCACAACTTCTATAGGTTTACTATCATATAACCATGTACAATGTTTCGGGAGTTTGATTCCCTTTCTAAATACAACCATTTTTGTTTTCTCAACATTCACATCTATGGACCATTTACATGCATATACGTATAAAGTGTTAAGATTTTCCTGCAATCCATTAATAGTTTATGAGACAAGAGCTGTGTCGTCTGCATACAATGTTAAGAATATTGCAAGTTCCTTGATGTATGCTGGCTCTCCAGAGTTCGCAATGAGCTCATTCTCAAGATCATTTATATATAACGAGAATAAAAAGGGAGATAGAGGCTCACCTTGCATTAAACCGACGTCGTTTTGAAAAAATGTCGATAATTCTGAATTTTGACGAACACATGACTTTATGCCTCGATACATGGAAGAAATTATTTGATGCATTTTACCAGTAATTCCAGATTTAGTTAATTTGAATATTAGTTTTGGTCTTTGGATTAAATCAAATGCGCGGTGATAATCGATAAAGCAGCAGAATAGTTTTTTCCCTTGTCTCAGTGATCTATTAATCAAACCCTGTAAAGCAAAGATCGAGTCAATCGTCCCATAGCCAGGCTTAAATCCAACCTGGGCGTCTGAAATACACCCATATTTATCTGACCATACTAACAATCTATTATTCAAAATACATGTAAATATCTTAGACAAACAACTGACCAACGAAATACCTCGATAATTTTGTACATCGTTAATAGAACCTTTCTTATATACAGGAACAATGATAGCTTCAGACCATTCGTCCGGAAAGCACCCCTTTTCAAAATTAAAGTTACAATTTAACAATGTACATAAATATGGAATCATAAAATCACTATATTTTGAAAAATATTCATTGATCAAATTCCAGGAGATTTATTGTGTTTAAGGTTTTTCAAGGTTCGCGCTACTTCAGCTTGAGATATAGGCTTATCTAATTCGGGATATAAACATTGTGATGTGATATTACTGTCATTATTGAATTCTATTGTTGGTGTTGAGCTAAGGTATTTAAAATAATCATGAAATTGGGATGGTTGAAAAACTGCTTTGGGTTAGACTTACGAATATTGCTCAATCTATTTCCTTCTGATCTATTAAAAGCTCTTTTTACTCTACGCTGATATATCTTATATTTGCCCTTATACAATGCTAATTTTATTCTATTCTGGGGGGGTCCTTTGCCTATTGAAATGACTTAAGCTTAATTGATACCCTTTGAACAGATCTCTGCATTTCTCGTCGAACCAGGGTTTTATAACATTTACAGGTTTAGCACCCTTCTTATTGTTATAATTGATTCTTTTTCGACAGAAGGGATTAAAGACGGACGACAATAATTCAGAGATATTTTCTATACCTTTACTAATCGAAATACCACCATCTTTAATTTTGTTTAATTCTTCATATAGATCACGGGCCTTACTTATCAGTTCAATTTCTAACTCGGCCTTTTTATTTTCATTCCACCTATAAATATATCCATACTTAATCTTAGGTTCATTTTTATAGTTATTAATTAAATCAGTTTTAGAGCACTTAATGAAACAAACTAAAGGTGCATGGTCAGACCAGACATTGAAATCTAAAATCTGTAGATCATCGGCTATATCGAAATTGCGTTTATCAATTAACAGAAAATCTATTACACTATGACCCAAATGGTTGAAGAAAGTAATTTTACTATTTTCACTACTCTAAACTCGTCCATTATAAATCCGCATGCCAGTGGATTTACAAAACTGTAGTAGCTTTCTACCAAAACAGTTAACCGTTTTATCCTCGGACAGACGTTTTGGTAATGGGTCATCAAACTCATAATCAAAAACATTTTCTAATCTATCAGTTAAACTATTTGGTAAAATGTCATGTTCAATATAATCTAGTTGTTCGCCCTTTCTTCTGTTTAGATCGCCTATTATCAAAATGGGTCCAGATACGTTGTATATAGCCACATACGCTGATATAATATCATAAATATCATTATCATATATCTTATAATAAACACTATTCTCATGTGGTAAATAAGTAAAACAAATGAATGTGTCCGTGGAATCATTTTGAATTAGTTTACACCAAAGTATGTAACACTTCGATAGTATTAGTTGAAACCTCAAGAATAAAATAATAGGAGACATATTTCTCTACAACTTGGCGTTGGTTTTGCTGAAATTCCTACATTACTTTACAATACCAGCCAAAAAAACACAGCGACGTTAAAACGTTTACGTAAACCTTTAAACTAGTTGTGTTTCTGGGGTGAGAAAGGCAAGAAACTTTTAACAATTAACATATTTCTCTAGATTTAGGTTTTTAGTTTTCATAGATTTGAGCAAAAGAATTTTCTGACTTATTTAAAAATTCAGACTGGCCTTATAGCTAATGAAATAATGAGACTAATGAAGCCTGCGTCATAGTGATCTGATTAATGACAGTCAACACAAACAGTATATTATTGACAGTATAATGTATATAGTATGATATATGTAATAATATAGGCGGGGTTGGAAACTCGTCATCAATACAACTTCGAAAACAACCTTCACATATTGCTGAAATTCCGGTAAAAAGTAATAAAAAAAATGACCTAGCCTCATATTCACTCAACATTCTAAATGATGAATCTGTTCCGAAGCTCTCTCAAAATATAGTTGACGATCCAAACCATTTTCTAAACTCAGAATCCAATTTACCACGTCCAGGAAAACGGTATTTAGTACCAAACCTTATTCCATATTCTATTAATTTATTAAACAAACGCCAAATCAATCTGTGATATTTCTTCTAGTCCCAACTGTATTGTATTGTATATTGTTTGTTTGATAAGTTTCGTATGTCCAAACTATGTATTTTTGTCAGCCTTGCATTACACAAGAATTCCCGAAAGGAAAAAAGAAAAGATTTATCTTATCTTATGTATCAAATTTACAAAAGTCTTTTCGTCGTGCATAAATCACACAGAAACTTTGTTGATGTCGTGGTTTAAAAAAAAGAAATAAGCATAATTTTATCTGGTAAAAAAGAAAATTAAAAAAGCCCGATATTTATGCTCAGAAAAAACATAAGCGTCTTTTTTTCGATAGAACACAAAGTATTTTCGATGTTTTTTTAAATTGTGGGATCTGTAGGCTATCACACTTTGAAAGAAAAATTGATGAAAGAAATTAGAATGACATTTCCTTCATTTCATAATATATTATTTCAGCGTATTAACTTATGATATCCTTTAATCACCACCATCATGATATAATTGAATGCTACAGGTCATTGTCCTCTATGGTTTAATGTAGGAGATTTAGAACCAGACGGGATAGCAACACTAGGATTTTGGAAATTGCCCCAGGTCTTGTCGTGACTCTCAATGAACCTATGATAAAGGTTATACGACTTTAATAAAATTCTAAAACGTCATCATTCATAATATTTACACTAATTAACAGCCAATGGATAAAAACTCTCTAAAAAATCTGTTTTTTTTAACGCAATGAAATGTCAATAACAATGTGCAGGGTCGATTTATGTTAAATTGACCTTTGTCCTTCAAATATTCCTTGTTCGTGAAGAACATTTGATATACTACTGGAAGAGATGCAAACATAGATTATGCTTTTCCCTGCAGCGTAGGTTTTCAACCACAGAGACATGTCCCAAGGTGGGGAAATTTGCATTTTTCTTTGGGAACATTTGATGTGTCTGGTACTGGTAGCAAATTACTACCGTTACCAGAGTAAGAGGACAAAATACTTCTCCATTCAGAGAAAAACTCACTTTTCGTTACCAAGTGAAATCACTTTTCTGTATAGAGTAGGGGACACACCAGGGAAAGAGGACAAACTATATACCCACACACAACTTCTGCATACTGAATAAGAAGACAAATTACAGAGTAAAAGCACTACTTCTCAATACAGAATAAGAGGACAAAATACATCTCTCCATTGACTAACAGGATGATTTTCTTCTCCACATAAAGTAAGAGGACAAATTACTTCTCTATACAGAGTAAGAGGACAAATTACTTCTCTATACAGAGTACGAGGACAAATTACTTCTACACACAGAGTAAAAATTCAGAGAAAGAGGATTAAATTCTTATCTAAAAAATAGCAGGCGGATAACTAACATTCAGTAGAAAGGAAAGGGTTTTTCGGCATATTTGTTAGGAAACATATTTTATACAATGTACAGTCATGTACAGATTTGTTAGGTTAAACAATTCTCTAATCAGTTTTTCAAAATAACAATAATGTAGTATACATGTAAAAATATAATATAATCCACATGTTTACAATGAAAATAGCCTCGAGCTTCAAAATGTTTTTCAACTGAAATTATAGTTCATCTAGTACCAACAAATATTGAACTAAACGCCTTCGTTCTGAAACCGAATTTCACAAATATGACAACCATGATGGCAATACAACCAAGATTTTCCAAATACATTGAACCCGTTACACAATAAACACGACCTAATGACGTTAGAAATTTCTCAAATCTTTAGGTACTCCTTACTTTAGCGCCTCATAGTTTACCTGGTTTTGACGTAACAGCTATTTTTGATCTATTCCATAAATTCGAGAAGCCTCTTGACTCCAGGCACGGCTGATTATTCCGAGATCTTGTCGAAGCCGAAGAAGTAAATCGCCTTCGGAAATCCGTTGTCATTCATACAGTAGAATATAGTAACAGACTTTCTTTGTTTAAGTTACTGTTCATTTTGAAATATCAGATAGTAGAATTTCATAGTATTTCGTAATTTTACTCTAACAGAACAAAGAGTGAGAAGGAAAATGTGAATGATTCTGATATTACATTTTCCTATAGTATATTAGCCTATCAAAACCATATTTTTTCTAGTTCTTTCCAATTTTATTCACCCGCCCCTTTCTCATTTGTAAGCCAAGACGGTCGTCCATATTTTAAAATTTTCATATTCGCTATGAAGTTGTTTCGATGTCAATATTAATTTCCTTGCAAAACGATAAAATGTATAATGTTAATTTCAGAAAGTACATTAATTTGTAGAATTGTAACTTGAAGAAAATACATTTGTCACATTGTAAAAGTTCAAATATATATTGGTAATTTGATAT